TACAAGTGGTGAAACCAGTGGACAAATGGGCAAGTGGTCGGAGTGACTGGGCTCAGAGAAGTGTTGGGAACGGTTGGTACTTTTTATTCTATTTTCTGATTTTTTCTGCTGGGTTACAAGTGGTGAAACAAGTGGACAACTGGGCAAGTGGTGGAAGTAACTAGGCTCGGAGAAGTGTCGGGAACGTTCGTCTAAGTGTGTTCCGGATCAGTGGGAGGAATACTGTTTGTTTCTTAGACTAGGTGCACGGTATGAAGTAACGGCGGTCTAGGATTTCTTTATTATTTTTATTTTTTATATTTTTTAGTAGAGGTTCACTTCTTACGAGTCCTTTCGGGAACGATGACAATACGACGCAGAATAGGGAGTTTAAACAGCTAGGCGAAACAATTGAACTTTAAGACTCCTGATGATCCTGGCACGGCGGCCAGGTGAAACCGGCAGGGTCGTCGCCACTACTGCTACTGTGCTTCATATATATCATTTGGAAGCAGTTCTCACGTTCGGGTTTCATGTCAAGCTATGGTTCAGTCGTGTCGTGAGTCGTGTCGTGAGTCATGTCGTGAGTCGTGTCGTGAGTCTTTGTCTTGTATCTGCGGTCTTCTGTGTAAAGTCTTGATTGCTCCGGATTGACCTTTGTATGGTCCTGCTTATGCAGAATACTTCCTCTCACGGTGTAACCGACATAGAGATTGTACTAGTGTCGTGTGGCTCCGTGTTTACTAGTCTGAAATATTAGGATGGCTTTTAATCAGAACAACCAGGGTGCCAGAGATGCAGGTTGTTACAACTGCGGGCAGGTAGGTCACATCGCTAGATTTTGTCATCTTCCGGATAAGCGGTTGAACGGAGCGGCCTCGACCAGTATGGCTATCGTTCCGGTGCAAACTCCAGTGTATGGCGGTGCTCCCATCAGTACGGGACCTCCGATGTACAACGGTTACAATAATTATAATGGAGGATACTCAGGTGGCGGAGGGTTGGGTCGGCGCGTGTCGAATTTGGAAGATCTCATTGCGAAGATAAGAGGCAAACATAAAGCAGATGAAGCAAGGGATAAAGTTACTTGGGATGAAGAAGAGAAGAAGAAAAAGGAGAAGGAAGAGGAAGATAGGCGTTTACAAGAAAAGAAAGACAGAGAGGAGATGCATTCTATCTTCGCGAAGGAGCTTAATACTAAGCTTGATGTGATCAACATTGCGGTGGGGAAGAAAGACAAGGATAAAGGGGATGATGAGATTGCTAAGTTACGAGAGAAGATCAAGATGTTAAAGAACAGTCAGCAAGGGGGGACATCGATTGCAGCACAGGCAGGAAAGAAGAGCAAAGGAAGAGATGACGAGATAACGAAGCTGCGGGAAGAAAGAGATTGCGGATATGAGACTGGCTTCAAAAAGAAGATTCGGGGCAATCGAAGAGGAGATAGCAAAAGAGAAGAGGTTGAGAGATGAAGCAATGGCTGATGCCGAAGCATGCAAGAGCGAGGCACTACGAAAAAAAAACGGGGAAACCTGGCCGTCGAGGCCACTTCAGCAACACAGGCCAGGGTGCGCGCACGTACAACACAGGGAAGCACACCTGTTACCTCACGATTACGTGTAGACGAGCACTACAAGAGCGTTGTGAAAAGGCATGGAATGGAAGTTGACGTGCTCCAAGAGATGAGGTTGAAAGAAGCGAGGGCCAGGCGAGAAGCCGAGGACGAATTACAGAAGATCAGAGCACAGAAGGCAAATGATGAGCTGGAGGTAGAGAAATTACACGAGAAGATGAGGACATTGGAGATGGAGAAGAGACAACAGGGCGGAGCTACTAATCTGAAATCCTGGCTTGATGAGGTGGCCGGGTGCTCTGCGAGGAAAACGGATCGGGCAAAGGAGGCTAGCCCGGCGCTCTAGATTAGTGATCGAGAGAAATTTTTGAGAAAGGCGAGGAAGGATTTAAAGTGTGTACGGAAGGACGAAATCTTGGCGATATGTGAGAAAGAGGGAATCACGTATGAAAAGCTGGACATTACGAGGGAGGAAATCGCAAAAGTACGGACGGCCAGATAATTTGACGATCAGGGTGATGTGGGTGGAAAGGGTAAACAAGTGGTTCACGACGTGTCAGAGGACGGAGGGGAGGAGATCGAAACGAGTGATGCTGGTCACTGAACTACTTTGTAGGTATGCTCCCGAACGTGGCGCGTCTTTGGAAGCTTACTGAAAGATGTTGCTCTTTTAGATCTACGGTTTAGATGCAAGGTACTTAACGGTTTTTTTAGCCTTATTCTATGCATGTTGATTGTTGCTGGAGCAGTTGAGTGGGGAGAAAAGTTGGTTAAGTATGTCATACAGGTTTGGAAAGATGACCTCGATTTTGACTCTGGGAGTGGACCGGTTGTGTACGCTTTTTTTTCGCCATGGTGTAAATATTTGTATGTGGGTAGTACGAATCGTGATACTGGGACGAGATGGGGGGAGCATGTTGGTAGAACTCTACAGCGGCGGTCTGTGCAGGAAGGAAGGAGGAACGAAAGACTTTACAGATGGTTAAGAAGATATGGGGCGCATAAGTATGTGATCATACCGTTGGCGGTATGTACGAAAGATGATCTGATTGAGACGGGGAACTTTTTTGTTCGTGAACACTGTCCTTCTTTGAACGTCAGAGGGAGGGGTAGGAAATCAAAGAGGTCAAGGCCAGGCTGTAGGGAGAGAAAAAAGATCAGAAGGAGGGAATCGATTCAGCAACTGGAGAAGATGGTAGGTGGTGTTTTGCTCAGTTTTCATACTACCTTTGGTTTGGGGACAGGGAGTCTGATGCGGGTACTAGAGCACTGTCGACAGAATTCATTGAACAACTGTATGTTTGTCTGTAAAGATGGCGATCGTTTGATTGACAAATGGAATGTAGTCAAAAGGATGTACGGAGGCAGCATCGTTTCCTGTCAGTATGGTTCGGGTGAACTGAGGCATGCTCGGGGTTGGTTTAAAGATAGTATCTGTATCAGTGTTGTGAAGGTTGTGCCCTTCCTGAGTAAGTCGTTGGTATTTAAAGGGCCGCTTATTGAGGTGTTGAGGCTGCCCAAGAAGAAGTATGAGCTAGTTAGTTGGAATTTGGACAATTTGGTGTACGCCTACACAGCAGTACGAACATTTGGTGAAAAACGTACAAGATGCAGGCAAAGGTACTTGTTATCTAGTGTTATTCAAAAACAGTTTGGGTTACGGGTCCGTCAAAGGTTAGTGATTAAATTGACGTACGATGAGCTGGTAAGTAAGAGTAAGGTGCGATGCTTTTGTGCAAAGATCGTCATGAGAATGGAAATTTCGAAAGCCTGGAGGGAGATGCTAACTAGACGAATGAGAGTCGTGTGGTGTCGTAACAAGTCTATTGCTGATAAAATTCATAATTACAGGCGGGTGGCTAGAGGTAGTTCTTTCCTGTGCAGTTGTGAGAAAGCAGACCAGCGGTGGATGAGAGTTGATGGGCATGTGGCGTGCAAAATGAGTGAGGTGAAAAACTTGCCGGAATGGATTAGAATGTCAAAGAATGTTCTGAGACCATCCAAGCGTAATAGGTGCTCGGTATTGGGTAAGGAGTTGTCGAAGGCGTTTCGGATGCATCCTTCCTTGCCAGCTATCGACGAACGGGAATTTCAAGGGTCTGCGGCTTGTTTGTGTGCTGCATCGAAAACGGGTGTTAGGTGCATAGGAGAGGATGATCTCCAAGAGCTACTACCTCTGTTCGATGGGCTTGTGTGCTGCCCGCTGGATCATAATATAGGTGATACTTTCGTCTGTTGTCCAGTGGTATATGGAAGAGGGATGACGACTCTGTTTTTAGGAAATCCGGCTTTTGAAGCCCGGTCGGTTGATGAGGACGTAATCGTGCAGGAATGCTGTCGTAAGTATAAACAATCAGGATTGATGTCTGCGGGTGCTTGGAAGAAGGAGGGATCTTTGGGCAAGGCCTACTGTATTCCTAAATATAAAGATATGAACCGTTGGCGACCGATTTGCCCATCATACCCAGAAGGATCGACAAAAAGTGGGAACATGGTGTCTAGAGCGATCAATCAACTACTTTGGAACCTGCCTCGGGGTTCTAACCTTAACCTGAGGAGTGCTGACAGATTGGTGGGAGAAATCAAGAGAGTGAACAATGGGGTGGGAAAAAAAGATCGTTTGGTTGGTGCGTCATTCGATATTAAAGAAATGTTTTCGAACTTATCGCATGACTCAATTCTGAACGCGGTGCAGTGGGTGACTGGAAACTGGAAAAAAGAAAAGGTTAAGGGAGTTGCTCTTCGGAAGCAGGGAAAGGATGCTAAGTCACTTAGAGGCAGACTGGAAGATGGGTGGAAACTGGTGGAATTTGAGGAAATCCAAACGTTTGTGGGATTCGAGTTGGATAACACCTTCATTATGGCGGCTGGTCGATGCTTAAAACAGATAGTTGGTATACCTATGGGGAAGTCGACGAGCCCTGCATTGGCGTGCTTACCGTGTGCTTTCAATGAGTACACTTTTTTGAGTAGCCTGGGGAATGATAGGAAACTTTTTAATGGGTTTCGTCTTGTGGATGACGTCTCGGTTTTTGTAAAGTACAGAGAAATGGATCACAGGTCAAAGGTCGTTGCTGAAGAGCTGGTTACTACTTTTAGTTGTTGCTACGACAAAAATCTCGTTCTTGAGAAAACTAATGATGGCGAGCCGTGGGATTATTTGGGTTGCGTCCTGCACATTGGAGACAATAATCGGAGGGTTGATTGCCTAGCTCTCATGAAGAACCAGCGGGGAGGGCTCAATGGTGAGTTGGTATTTCAAGCGATTCAGGACTACGTGTCGTATTCGAACAAACAACAGAAAACCGCTGTCATTGGCTCGTTCATGCATCGGGCAAAAGTGAATTCATCATTGGCTGGTGCGGAGGTGCCATTTCTAGTTGCGTTGAAAAGTGAACTGTGGAGAAGAGGGTACCCAGATGAGATGTTCGATAAAACGTTGGTTTCATTCTTGTGGAAGTTTGGAGGCCTCTGGAGTGAATGGCTGCCAATTCTGACAAATTGGGGAAGGTTTGGATATATAAGGAGGAGTAGAGATGGTGCCAGGTAT